CTCACGCTCTCACTGCCTTCAGAGCACCGGCGTCTAAATTATTCATAGAGGATAACATAGTCTATTTTGGGGTAATTCCTATCACACTTCGTGGTGACTGTTTCCATTTTTAAAATAGCCTCAAGTATGACTATTAATCAGGATATCATTAAAAATAATATGTCAGGGTGACATTCATTTCCATTCCACAAATAATGTCACCAGCACTAAATTCCTGAACAATGGGACATTTACCAGGAGGGACAGGGTTGTGTCTTTTATGTTTCCTTTCCTTCTCTCTCTCTCTCTTTTTCTTTCTTTCTTTCTCTCCTTCCTTCCTTCTCTCTCTCTCTCTCTCTCTCTCTCTCTCTCTCTCTCTCTCTCTCTCTCTCTCTCTCTCTCTCTTTCTCTCTCTCTCTCTCTTACTTTCTTTCAAGACAGGGTCTCATTCTGTCACCCAGGCTGGAGTGTAGTGGTATCATCATAGGTCACTGCAGCCTGGAACTCCTTGGTTCGAGCGATGCTCCCACCTTGGCCTCTTGAGCAACTGGGACCACAGGCATGTACCACCACACCTGGCTAATTGTTTGATTTTTTTGTAGAAATAGGCTCTCACCATGTTGCCCTGGCTGGTTTTGGACTCTTGGGCTCAAGCGATCCTCCAGCCTCGGCCTCCCAAAGTGCTGGGATTACAGGCATGAGCCACCCTGCCCAGCCTGCTTTTCTAACACTGAGCAACCAGGATGCGTCTGACACTTCCTAGAAGCTCAGCAAACATTTACTGAGTTCATTTTAAATTCATCTGGGACCTGGTTGTAGATGCAGGAGGCTCTTATTTGTGATGTCAACTCCAAGGTCAGAAATGCTCCCAAAACTTCTTCAAGTGTCTTAAAACCCAATATATATATAGGCCACACGGGGTTTCTAAGACACATGAAGAAGTTTGGGGAGTATATATATGTGTGTGTGTATATATATATATATATATATATATATATATATATATACACAAACACACACACACACGTGTATCTATCTGGGCCAGGCACAGTGGCTCAACATCCTGTAATCCCAACACTTTGGGAGGCCAAAGCAGGAGAATCACTTGAGCCCAGCAGTTCGAGGCTGCAGTGTGCTATGATTGCACCACTGCACTCCAGCACTCCAGCCTAGGTGACATAAGTGACAGAGCTGAGACACTGTCTCTAATATATATGTGGGTTGTGTGTGTGTGTGTGCATACATCCATCAGTTTTACCATATTAAAAAGTCCAAATGTATATGTATCTACACACACACACACACACACACACGTACACATATACATTATATAAATCTTTATCGTCTCATTTGTTAGGCTTATACACTTCATAAGTTCATTATTCAATGTGTGAAAAGGTGCATAGTTTTCATTTGTTTAAAATCTGCCTCTATTAAAGGTCAAGAGCTGCCCCCTTTTGAGTCGGGTGAAAGTCAATGTGATCCATTTCTACTTTTCTCTAGCACTAACAGTCTAGGCTTATTTGATTTCTTAAATTAGATTTTTGAGATAATTGCTGATCTCAAATCTGCCCCACATGCCCTTCACCCAGTCTCTCACTAATGGTAGCATTTTGCATAACTATAGTACCCAATGTCACAACTGGGAAATAGACGTTGATGCAATCCACTGACCTTTTTCATATTTCACTAGTTTTACATCAGATTTTCACTTGTTTTCTGTGTATGTGTTTAGTTCTACGTCGTATTGCACAGGTGGGTAACACTACAACCACAGTCAAGCTGGGGAAGTTTCCTGCCCACCAGGGTCCCTAGTGCTTCACTCTTACAGTCAGAGCCCTCTCCCTTCCTCACCACCTCCCTAACCCTGGCAGCCACTAGTCCATCATATTCTCCATCTCTGTAATTTGGCTGTTCTGTTTTGTCTGGAGACAAGCTCTTTCTCTGTCACCCGGCTCTGGAATGCAGTGGCACAATCACGCTCACTGCAGCCTCCGCCTCAAGTGAGGTTGCAAGTGATCCTCTCACTCAGCCTCCCAAGTAGCTAGGACGACAAGTGTGCACGACTTTGCCCAGCTAATCTTCTTATTTTTTTGTAGATACAAGGTTTCTTTTTTCTTTTTTCTTTTTTTTTCTTGAGTCAGAGTCTCACTCTGTTGCCCAGGCTGGAGTGCAATGGCATGATCTCAGCTCACTGCACCCTCCACCTCCTGGGTTCAAGCAATTCTCATGTCTCGGCCTCCTGAGCAGCTGGGATTACAGGCATGCACCACCATGCCCAGCTAATTTTTGTATGTTTAGTAGACATGGGGTTTCACCGCGTTGGCCAGGCTGGTCTTGAACTCCTGACCTCAGGTAATGCACTCATCTAAGCCTCCCAAAATGTTGGGATTACAGGCGTGATCTACCGCGTCCACCCTAGAGATGGGGTTTCACCGTGTTGGCCAGGCTGGTCTCAAACTTCTGGATTCAAGCGATCCGCATGCCTTGACCTCCCAAAGTGCTGAAATTACAGACATGAGCCACTGCACCTGGCACTTTTGTTTATAGAATGTCATATAAGTGGAATCACACACCATGTAAGCTTTTGAAATTTGCTTTTTTCGCCCCACATAATTCCCCTGGGATCATCCCCGGTGCCTGCATGCATCTATAGCCACATTTTTTCCTTGCTGAATAGTACCCTGTACCATGGCTGTAGCACAGTTGGTGTAAACATTCACCTGCCGAAGGGCATTTTGGTTGCTTCCAGTCTGAGGGTAGGTCTATTTTATTTTGAGATGGAGTCATCTAGGCTGGAGTGCAATGGCACAATCTCAGCTCATGGCAAACTCCACCTCCCAGTTTCAAGCAGTTCTCCTGCCTCAGCCTCCCAAGTAGCTGGGATTACAGGTGCCCACCACCACATACAGCTAATTGGTTTGTGATTTAGTAAAAATGGGGTTTTACCATGTTGGCCAGTCTGGTTTTGACTCCTGACCTCAAGTGATCTGCTCGCCTCGGCCTCCCAAAACGCTGGGAATTCAGGCATGAGCCACTGCACCCGGCCATGTCTATTTAATTTTCTAAAATAAAATCATTAGGCAGATCATCCATCAGCTTTACCATATTTAAAAGTCCAAATGCTTTCAGTTTCCTTCCAAATCCCCATCCTTGCCTTTTCCTTTCACTTTTAAAGTGCCCTGCTCAAGTCCTAAGCCTATTTTTCTGAGGTTTATTGAGCAAAATTCCATAAAATTCAGACTCAAAAATGCAATACATTTGCCAGGGGTAGTGGCTCACACCTGTAATCTCAGCCATAATTCCAGCCCTTTGGGAGGCTGAGACGGGAGGATAGGGGTTCAAGACCAAACTGGACAACATAGTAAGAACCAGTCTATACAAGACTTTTAAAACTTAGCCAGGCATGGTGGCATGCACCTGTAGTCCCAGTTACTTAGGAGGCTGAAGTGGGAAGATTGCTTGAGCCAGGGAGGACGAGGCTGCAGTGAGTTATGATCACACCACTGTACTCCAGCCTGGATGACAGAACAAGACCCTGTTTCTTTCTTAAAAAGCAATACTTTTTTATTTTTCTTTTTGAGATGGAGTTTTGCTCTTGTTGCCCAGGCTGAATCTCCACCTCCCAGATTCAAGCGATTCTCCTGCCTCAGTCACCCAAGTACCTGGGATTACAGGCATATATCACCACGCCTGGCTAATTTCTGTATTTTTAGTAGAGATGGGGGTTTCTTCAGGCTAGTCTTGAACTCTTGACCTCAGGTGATCCTCCCACCTTGGCCTCCCAAAGTCCTGGGATTACAGGCACCCGGCCAAAATGCAACACTTTTTTATGATAGTATAATAATGTTTTCTCTTGTGTTTCTAGTACTTCTCATGATTGGGCCCAACTTACAGTCAACTTTTTTGGCTACCTGAAGTTGATGAGCTCAGAAAACAGTCTAATATTCCACACAGACATATGTGTAGCCCTGGGAGCTATAAGTATAGTCTGGACTATTTTTGTCAATGTTCCATCTTGGCCAGGCACCTATACTTCCCAGCTACTCAAGGGCTGAGGCAGGAGGACCACTTGAGCCCAAGAGTTCATTTAAGGCTACGGTGAGCTATGATCATGTCACTGCACTCCAGCCTGGGTGACACAGTGAGACCCTGTCTCTAAAAAAATTAAAATTCCATCTTTCATTTACCTGGACTGAAAGCCATCTACCACTTCTCTGTATCTCAGAGAGTCTGGCAAGAGCTTCATGTGTCTTATGACTTTGTATCTCCACTACCTGTCAAGTCCTTTGCTATCTGCAAATGTAGGGACTGCACCATGTGATCTCCTTCCCTACTCTCACATAAAGGACCAGGGGGCTTCAGGCCATCTTTTCTCAATTTCTTGGTCCTGTGTCCATTGCAAATGAGAGTCTTATCTATGACTGCTCTCTGTTCATCAGAAGGAAAGGATTCATTTGACTTTCCAAAACCCTGAACCAGCTCTCTAAATGCTAGGAAACCAGGATTGTTCCCACCATAGACTGAGGAGGAAAGAGACCAGTGAGCCATGCTAGTGGTCCCCACACCTGCCAGCACCTCTTACCCGGGCACATTAGAGCTGAGGAAGCCCCAGGACATGAGTATCTTTAGAAAAACCCAGGGACTCAAATAAATGCTGGTAAACATAGATACTGGAATACTAGGCAATCATCAGAAAGACTGGGGCAGCTGTTTATGCACTGAAAGGAAAGAGGTCTCGAGATCCAGTGTGATATGAATGAAGCTGGTATAGATCAGTAAGCTTCCATTTGCAGGGGGGGAAATAATACATATTAGCCTTTGCTTATAGATGCACAAAAGCCCCGGAATGAGGGTCTCGTCCCAAGGGTCTTGTCAATTATTCCAGAGATTTTATGCCACTGAGAGAGTTTAGGAGACTGGGAGACAGGGGTCAGAGAGCAACTTTTCCTACTTACCTCTTTAAACTTGTTGAATGTTAAACCAGGTACATGGATTCCCTGTGTCAAAAATCAGATTAGGTCCTTTCGTAGGTCATGAGTGAAATGATTGGGTTGTTGTGCTCCAGTGTGAGATGTGCTTCCCTCACACCTTGTTCCAATGTTGACGCATTACCCATCTGACATGAAGAAAAGGGGGAGGGAGCCGGGCATGGTGGCTCTCAGCTGTAACCTCAGGTCTTTGGGAGGCCAAGGTGGGTAGATCACCTGAGGTCAGGAATTTGAGACCAAACTGGCCAACATGATGCAACCTTGTCTCTACTAAAAATACAAAAATTAGCCCAGTGTGGTGACATGGGCCTGTAATCCCAGCTACTCGGGAGGCTGAGGAAGGAGAGTCACTTGTACCTAGGAGGCAGAGGTTACAGTGAGCTGAGATTGCACCACTGCGCACCAGCCTGGGGGACATAGCAAGACCCTGACTCAAAAAATGCTGATACTAACCCCCTTTCAGAGGTAAGCACTCTCTTGTCTTCTCTGGCCTCTTCTTAGGCTTCATGTAAACAGAATGCACTGTGTGCTCTTTTGTGTCTGGCTCCTGCCATGCAGCCCTGCGCCTGAGAGAGTGATTCATGCTGCTGCATTCCGCAGAGGTTCTTGCTGGGTTTTGCTGAGTAGTCTTCCGTTGTATGAAATCCACATTTATTTATTCATTCTTCTGTTGATAGACGTTTGGGTTATTTGCCATTTGGGGCTATTATGCTCGAAGCCATATGAACATTCTTATAGCTGCCTTTCAGACATAGGCACTCATTTCTCTCGGGTACTCGTGTGTCTTCTTAACGACATTCTTCAGTTGTGCAATGAACTCCTCCAGGTTTATCTTCCCTGAGGGATTACAGGCTCCATGTTGGTAAGGCAGGATCTGCCCCTGATCACTGGAGCATCCCCTAAATAAAAAGGCAGATTCTCCATTGCCCTTCACCTTTATCCTGTATTCTAGCCGGGGAGGAGAGGCTGGTGCCTGCAAAAATGGCAGCTGTCTTCTGATAACAAGAGCAAAAAAGCAAAAGAAAGGCAGAGTGGGAAGCTGTGAGGACTCTTGCTCTTTGATGATGTCCTAGAGTCATGGACACCAGCCCTGGACAGCCTACCTTCAGATTGGTCTGCAGGAAAAGAGAGAGAAAATAGAAATAGATGCACAGAGTAGAGCGGAGAGGAAGGATGGAGAAGGTCCCAGTGGGGATGGGTGTGAGTCCCAGTTCATTCCTGAGGCCTGGCTGCACCCTGCTCCTTCTCTCTTTACTTAGGCATTAAGATTTCCACCACTTCACCTGAGGGTCTAAGTCAGTCCTTCGGCACTGCATTATCACTGATATCCATCATTTTGTCAGTAACTAATCAAGAAAAGGTTTAAAATATGCTTAATCACCTCTAATTTGTAAGAAATAAGTAAAGCATCATAGTGTGGTGGCAATCCCCTGGGCTGCAGGGTTGGACAAAATTGGATTCAAATCCCCACTCAGGCACTCGCTCACCCAGTGTGTAATTTTGACCAAGTTACATAAGTTCTCTAGGCTTTCATTTTTCTCACTGGCTAAATGGTGAGAATAATACCAGCTTTTCAGGGTTCTTAAGAGCTAAATGCAATAAGGTATGTAAAAGGCTGGCAGATCATTAGTATTCAGCAATTATAGGAATTATTTTAAAAGGTGAAGTATATATTCATATATATATGAAAGATTTACCTGGAAAGTGATTTTTCTATTTAATGGGGTTATCTTTATTTAGAGAGAGAGAGAGAAAGAATTCCCTTATTTCCCAGTGAGCCCATATGGTAGACTATCAATGTACACCAGTCCCTACTTGGAGTACTGCAAACATTATTTTTAAGTATCAATAAACCACCAGAAAAAAACATTATGTGTTAGCTAAATGATATCCTCAAAGTAAGATTTCTGAAATTTATAGGCACTGTGAACACTGTGAAAAGGGATTGGCAGGCTCTGAGCCTCACTCACCAGAGCCTGGGGACAAATAGGATGTCACAGAACACCAGATGACTCTACAGACCACATGCCTCCTGCATTCGTTGAGGCCCCAGAGGCTTCCGGCAATCTCTGGGCTAGAAAGTCACATGCCCAGGTCTGCTCTTCATCATGGATGGCCCTAACTTTAAATACAAGACTGTACTTTACAATCAAACATGTCCAGATGGACGGCTTTCCCAAAGCCAAATCTATACCCAGGATGCAGATTTCTAGAGGAAAATGCAGCCAAGCCGGATACAGAAAACAATTTAGGGAACAAAAAGTCACCACCACTAGAAAGCTGTGGTTCTCTCTGCTGCTCCGAATGGAGTGACACATACGGCGGGTGAGGACAGGCGCCGGGTGTCGGGGAGGACCTGGAGCTGGACACCAAAGCCCAGGAAATGGGCAAAAGGCATGCATGCAGAAGACAGAAGCGACAGTGGGGAGGGCAGACATACCCCTCACTAGTCCTCATTAAAGTGTGAGTGCCCAGGCTTGCACACCCCTGAGGCCCCACTACGTGCACAGTCTTGCCCTGTGGACCACCGTTACCTATGTGAGGCACAACACCTCGAGAAAACGGACCATGGAGGATGCTCACTCTCCCAGAAGCCACTGCGGCTCCAGCTTCTCCCAGCATGGCAGACCAGGACCATAACTGGTTATATTGCTCCTAAGTGGCCAGGCCCATGGGAACTGCCTTGTGCCAACCAGACTTGTAGGAAACTTCTTGGCCCAGATGCCTGTTGACTGGTTCTTTCTCTCTTTCTTTCTTTCTTTCTTTCTTCCTTCCTTTCTTTCTTCCTTTCTTTCTATGTTTCTTTCTTTCTCTCTCTCTTTCTATCTTTCTTTCTCTCTCTTTCTTTCTCTTTCTTTCTTTCTCTCTCTCTCTCTCTCTTTCTTTCTCTCTCTCTCTTTCTTTCTTTCTTTCTCTCTCTCTCTTTCTTTCTTTTTTTTTTTTCTTTTCTTTCTTTCGTCTCACTCTGCCATCCAGGCTGGAGTGCAGTGGTGCCATCATAGCTCACTGCAGCCCTGACCTCCTGGATTCAAGCCATCCTCCTGCCACAGCCTCCCAAGTAGCTGGGACTACAATTATGTACCACCATACTCAGCCAATTTTTCTTTTTCTCTTTTTTGTAGAGACAAGATCTCATTAAGTTATCTAGACTGGTCTTGAACTCCTGGGCTCAAACTGCCTTCCCACCTTGGCCCTCCAAAGTGCTGGGCTATCAGGTGTTAGCCACTGCAGCTGGTCTGGACTGACCTTTTATTAGAAGAATGGACCTTTGGTCAGATGCGGTGGCTCACGCCTATAATCCCAGCACTTTGGGAGGCCAAGGCAGGCACATCACAAGGTCAAGAGATGAAGACCATCCTGACCAACATGGTGAAACCCTGTCTCTACTAAAGATACAAAGATTATCTGGGCGTGGCATCACGTGCCTGTGGTCCCGGCTACTTAGGAAGCTGAGGCAGGAGAATTGCTTGAACCCAGGAGGAGGAGGTTGCAGTGAGCTGAGATTGTGCCACTGCACTCCAGCCTGGCAACAGTGAGACTCTGTCTCAAAAAAAAGCATGGAAGTAGTGGCTCATGCCTGTAATCCCAGCACTTTGGGAGGCTGAGGCAGGTGGATGACTTGAGGTCAGGAGTTCGAGATCAGCCTGGCCAACATGGAGAAACCCCATCTCTACTAAAAATACAAAAATAGCTGGGTGTGGTGACACATGCGTGTAATCCAAGCTACTCAGGAGGCTGAGGCAGGAGAATCACTGGAACCCGGGAGGCAGAGGTTGCAGTGAGCAGTGCCGACATTCTGAACCCTTGGCCTGGGCTAAAATCAAATCTATATGTCCCTTATAACATGCCCAGTGGTCACCACCACCCCAAGACTAAGCGCACACACCCCAAAACAAAACCAAGCCAAGCATTCCAGCAGCCCCACTTCAGCCTACTACCCACGCACACTCTCCATCCACTTTTTTTCTTTAAAAATTAACTTTTAAGATTTTTTTTTTTCTTTTTTAGAGTTGGGCCTCGCTGTGTTGCCCAGGCTGGAGTGCAGTGGCTTGATCATAGCTCACTACAGCTTCAAACCCCTGGGCTCAAGCGATTCTCCTTCCTCAGCCTCCCAAATCACTGGAACTACAGGTATGCACCATGACACCCAGCTAGTTTTTAAATAGTTTATAGAGATGGGATCCCACTATGTTGCCCAGGCCGGTCTCAAACTCCTGGTCTCAGGTGATCCTCCTGCCTCAGCCTCCCAAAGTGCTGGGATTTCTGGCATCAGCCATCACACTCAGCATTTTGAGATCTTATTTATTTATTTGTTTGTTTGTTTATTTATTTATTCATTATTTTTGAGACATAGTCTCTCTCTGTCACCCAGGCTGGATGGTGTGCAGTGGCATGATCTCAGCTCACTGAAACCTCCATCTCCTGGGTTCAAGCAATTCTCTTGTCTCAGCCTCCCAAGTTGCTGGACTGCAGGTACATATCACCACACCTAGCTAATGTTTTTTTGTGTGTGTTTGTTTTTTGTATTTTTAGTAGAGATGGGGTTTCGTTGCATTGGTCAGGCTGGTCTCAAACTCCTGACCTCAGGTCATCCACCTGCCTCATGCTGATATCATGTTGATATCAAGCATTGTCAAATGCACCCGTGGCTCAAATTAAGTACAATTGTTTTTGCTGCAAAAATCAGAAGGATTTTTATATGGCTTTTGAAATTATTTAGCTCTGCGGAACGCATTTAATTCAGCTATGACTTCTCTGCAGTCAGATAGGCATATACCAGAATTCTTGTGAAGTGAGGAAAGCAAACCTACAGATAGCTTTCAACTATGCACATCATGAACTTTGATGAACACTAACTTTAATCGATCATAAAACATATTCAAATGTACACCTTATATACATTTGATCATTTACTTCAAATATTCACATAGTTCAAGCATATGTTTATTTCAATTTTCTTTTTTTCAATTTTAGAGTCATATGTTCTTTCCAGATATTTTTGTGGGCTCCTTAAAAGCTCAGAGGCCTCAGGGCAATGCAACCATAGATCCTAACAAAGTGACACTGCTAATATTCCTAAAAGAGGACCAAGAATATAGAAAGATTTCAAAATAGAGCCATGAGTGAAACAACA